TGTTGATGCGTTAAAATAATTTTGTTCTACTAGTCAGCCTGAGGTAAAACAATTACTGAAATTTTGTTGCGAGACAATATTTTGAATAAAAAGAGGACATGCTGGAAATATAGACTGATGGGGATAATTTTTTGTTGTCAATGTGTTGCAATGTTGCTGTCATTTCTATTTTACAGTCCATTCTGACAATAAAATATAGCTGATTTACTATGTGGCTATATAGATATACATAATAAAGTGCAAATATGGTCAGTTTTGGTTGATTCTTTTGAATAATTTTGTTATACGAGTCAGCTAGAGGTATCCAAACTACTGAATTTGTTGCGAGACAATATTTTTTTATAAAAAGAGGACATGCTGGCAATCTAGATTGATGGGGACAAATTGTTTTTGTCATTGTACATGTTGTTTTGCAATATTGCTGTCAATTGTATTATACAATCCATCCTGACATCAAAATATTGCTGATTTACTATGCGGCTATATAGATTTACATAATAAAGTGAAAATATGGTCAGTTTTGTTTGATGTTTTAAAATAATTTTGTTATATGAGTCAGCCTGAGGTATCAAAATTACTGAAATTTTGTTGCGAGACAATATTTTTAATAAAAAGAGGACAAAAATATTTCCAAATTTTTTAACCCTATACAAATTAACAGATTGACACATTCCCCATTTCCATTCTCAATTTTATAATTAAGTGCAAATATGGTCAGCTTTGGTTGATGCTTGAAACAATTTTGTTGCACATGTTGTACATGTACCAGTCATCCTGACGTATATATATGTTCCTGAGACAGTAAAAACAATGTTATATTGGAGCCAGTCTGAGATGTGAAAACTACTGATTTTTTGTGATGATTCAATTATTTGAATACAAAAGGACATGCATACTTGCACTGTTAATTGTTGCAGAAAAAGAAATATTATTGATATTACGCTGGCCATAAGCATGATTAACTGTACACCAATATTGCTTTCAATTATCATGATTATTTTATATGATCTAAGTACTATTCATTTTTGGCATTGTTTGTCGATTGTATCTGAAAACCAAGTTTATAAGATTTACACTACATTTTAAAACCGATAATAATAGCATTGTAACCAATATCGTTTTTAATTTATATATAGATAGGCAGATCGCGGATAAATTTGCATTACAAGCAAAGTGTTATGCGTACTTTATTTACAAATACATGTATATATATTTAATCTGTATTGTTTATATAACCATCATAGGCATGGCCACGGAGATTTTAATTTTATACATTAATTTACAATATTGTGATCAAAATTCGTTTTTCAAAACAAATAAATAATTTTGTAGTCGCACGCTTTCTTTGAAATTTAATTGCATTATGGGTAATTTCGGATCGTGTAGAGAGAATCGGGAATGGTGTATGGTGTAATGTGTAAGGTGTATGGTGCAAAGGTGTAACGTGTATGGTGTAATAGCACAAGGTGTATGGTGTAATGGTGTATTGTGAATGGTGTAATGGTGTATGGTGTGAGTGGGAAGTTTACACCATCCAAGGACTGTACCTAAAGCCTGAATAGCTGGCCTACCAAATGATGGTTTGCTTAATCCGTTAACAACATATATATCCTGAACACTTTGTCCTTTGTTTCAAGCATGCATTGATATTTTCCTTCAACATTTAAGTTTATATTTCCTGGTCCATTTAGTTTGTAATTAGCTTTCATAAGTTTTGTGTTATCTATTCTTTTTAAATTACTGTCACATCAGCAACAGTGTCGATTTTGAAATATATCTCCTTTTCACAAATGCAATGTTTTATTGACCAAAAACAATCACCGACTGTGTTGATTGTTCCCAGAAATCCATCAGAGTCCGAATAAAAACTCACTGATTCATCTGTTATTACGGTCCTGCAACATTTTTCGAAGTGTCCGATATTTGAGCACTTTCAACATTTTGCCCCTTTAGCTGGGCATTTCTCTTTTGTGTGAAATTGTCAATTTCCGCATCTTTTGTTGAATTTCGATTTAACTGCATCAACATTAGATTTCGGATTGTCACTTCCCATTAAAGCTAGCTGTTTCTTCACAGTCTCCGATTGGCGGGCTATGTCAGTTGTTTTTTCTTAAGAGTAGGCTCTGATGTTAAGTTTGAATCCTTGATACCAACATATGTCCTGTTTCTTATCATTTCATTATTAAATCGTTGTATCCACAATGCTCAGTTAATGTGTATAAAGATAAATCAAAACTTTCTACGCCTTCTTCATCATCTTGTTTCCACTTATTTAACTTTGCACGTTAAAAGATAACATTCCTTCTAGCTATGAAGTAATTGTTAAATTTCTCTTCCACTTTTGCATATTTCTTTTTTTTTCCTCCAAGAAATCAAATGATGCAAAAATAGCATCTGCTTCCGGACCAATCGTGTAGATTAAACAGTTGACCTGTGTAGCTCCTGTTTTTTTTCCACAAGCCCAGAAGCTGATCTAAATCAATCAATCCTTTGGATCCATTTGGTCCACGTTTCTGGATTACAAAAGTCAAACTTTTCTGGAGCTGCGACTTGAAATGTTGCCATATATGTATATATATGAAGCCAATATGTATTCCCTTGATATATATACATAAGACTGGTTATAAGTTTCATTCTAATCTATACTATGCACATTTTAACAGTAAAGTGTAAAGCACACACGTGACGATATTATGGAAACGGTTCTTATATAAAGAAATCTTTGATAGTAACTTTAGCTTCTGATAAGAACTTCAACTTGATAGTAAACATATACACCCTGGTGTTTTCCCAGAGTATCGATTTGCATATAGTTTATTGACACATTCCCCGTTTCCTCTCTCAATTTTTGCTGAGCGTGTAAACATGTTTGTTAAAAGGCCAGCAGAAGCCCGCCTCCGGGTGCGGGATTTTCTCGCTGTGTTGAAGATTTAGTGGTGGCCTTGGGCTTTTTTCTGCTCTTTGGTCGGGATGTTAACTCTTTGACACTTTCCCCTTTTCCATTTTCAATTTCAATGACTTATACCATAATGCAACATTTTCAAATTATTGATAATAATTCTATTTGGAAGAGGAAAATGACAAAGTTAATCTATTAACATTGTGCAAGGAATATTTTGAAGTAATTGGAATAGATTTGTATATCAAAGCACTTCAAATGCGTTGGATTCTAACTCTTAAAACATGTAAAACACTGGTTTACATTTGACAATCAATTCTAGAATATACCTAAATAGATTAAAAAAAATGTTAATATTCGAAATGAACATTCAAAGTATTCATATGTTAGACAAACACATTTTCAAATCCCAGAGTTTTATCAGCTTAACTGAAAAGTTTGACGAACTAAATTAAGATTAAGAAACCAGATTTTATAAATAAAAACATTCAAATAAATGAAACATGAATTCTCTTACAAAATGGAAAGAAAATTGCTTGTCATGTTTTATTTGTATTCATCAATGAGACTGTGCTGCAATAACACAACATCAATGGTTTATTAAGTAAAAAATGAAATAAAATGTTAAAATCTCAATGGCAATTTGTTTTGTTTTTATTTAGTGTTTAACAGACTTTATTATATATCACGTGGCTAATGTCATAAATAAAGGCAACAGTATACCGCTGTTCAATGGTCAAAAATCGATTAAGCAAAAAAAAAAAAAAAAAATCCAGGTCACAAACGGAAACCAAGGAAACACATCAACTATAAGAGGAAAACAACGGAAAAACAGAAACACTGAACTGCAACAAAAACAAGCGACAACACACATAGAAACTGCCGTATTCCTGAATTGGTACAGGACATTTTAAGAAAAATTAGTAGGTTGAACCTGGTTTTATGGCTAGCCAAACCTCCCGCTCATATGACAATGTTAAAAATACTGCTAAAATGACAACATTACGTGACAGGAATACAGTACAAATAAACGCAAGAACACCCAGGACAGACAAATACATAAATAATATAATAGTACATAACAACATGTAAACCACAGAATAACAACGTACACCTCCTATGAATTTACGACAGTACACCAATACACCAGAAACGACTTATACACTGCGCGTCGCATGAATACATTAACGCCACAAAAAGTGACGTATTTATGTTACGTTTGTATTATCACAGGTAAATTTCTGAAATTATGATAGATTTGTTTTATTGTAGACACGTACACGAATATACAATTGGGATTGAGTTTGTAATAGAGTTATTTTATGTATTTTCTAAACATGACAAGAATATTAAAATGGAATTGTGTTTGTGATGATGTTATTATTTGTATTTTCTAACCATGTCGGTTTTTTTTATAAATCAAAACTGTGTATAAACAAAATAAATTGTGTGCATATAGTAGCTTTAAACTTAAAAATCATATAAATGAAATAGCTGATTTACTATTTTAACTTTTACATACACATAGAGAATGAAAAAAAAAAATAACTATAATATAAGGCAAGATGATGTAAGACCAAACAGTAAACACACTAGGACACAAATTAAACAACATATAAAAAAAAAAACGCTATAGACGAACCACGAGTAACTCGACTATACTGACAAATAAGACATAAGTCATCCACAAATTAAATTTGTAATTCAAGTGTTGACGGATTTTTGATACAAAAGACAATTCTAATTCCCAAAGAGTATTAGTTACATCCTTACCTCAATTCTAAGGTATATATTTCGTTTTTCTAATTTTAGTGCAAGATGCATTTTTCTAACATGAATTGCTAATTTATTAATTTTTATTAAGAAAAAATACATCCGTCCAGTATGCACCAATGGTAATTTATTATTGAAATATGATGTATGCTCCTGTGTTCATATGACGCTTAGTTCGACACTACGTTGATTTACTTTCTCTAATGACATACTTTTTTCGAGATTAAGTTAATGAGTTTGAATGTCACTTTGGTATCATTCGCATCTATTTTGCTTCATTTATTATCTAATAATATGCAAACAATGTTATTTTGTTTTTTCCATCCAGTTTGGTGATACTGCACTGCACATTGCTGCTTGGAACAGGTACAAAGAAACAGTAAAGTTGCTGATTGACGCTGGCATTGATCTCAATTTACAGAACCAGGTCAGTGGATGATAAATCAAACTAAAAAAAAAATACTGAACATATATCAATATCTGCAATAACAAAAAACAATTTTACTGCATCAAATGTGTATTTCAAAAACTAGATGTGTTTATTTATTTTTTAGTCCTTTTTAGTCATAAATCTTTTAAGGTTTTGGCGTATTTACACAAACCTGTCTCTCAAGTGTATAGGTTTAAGTGTTCCTGCTGGAGGTAAAATAGCATAAGTTGCTTTTTGTTTTCTTTCATATTATGTAACAATTGTTATTTTGTTTTTCTATCCAGAGTGGTGAGACTGCACTTCACTTTGCTGCACTGAACAGCAACACCGAAATCGCAAAGTTGCTGATTGACGCTGGTATTGATCTCAATTTACAGAAACAGGTCAGTGGATGATAAATCAAACTAAAAACAATATCATTATCTGCAATAACAAAAACAAATTTACTACATCATATGTGCAGGTCAAACTAGACAAATTTAGCTTTTCTGTTGTGTGTTTGGATACTCTTTAGTGAAGTATCTATTAAGGTTGCAGCGTATTTACGTAAACTTGTCTTTGGAATGTAAAGTTAAATCTAGAAAAGCGCATCGAAGACACGACATTTATAAGTGTTCATTTCATTTATGTCACTTAAAACTTAATAAACATTTGTGATAAGTGTCAAATTAATATCTTCCATAACAAACATTGTAAAATGCAGGATAATGGAAAAGTTTGTTGACCTAAAAATGTCCCTAGACTTGAGGTCACAATATATCGACTATACACACTCGAGCACACAAGGTATTATTGTTACAATTCTAGTGATGAAGCTTATAATCAATGACAATTTAAAATGTAATGTGATAAAATCATACGAAATACAATATAAACATTGTTCAATTTGCCCAAACCTAATAAAAATTAATCAAAAGCACACTGACACAATTACTCGAAATTACATAAACTGCACTGTTATAAATATTACACAAAATAAGATATTTTTTTTTTACTTAGAATGACAATGCTTCACTGCATAAGAAAGCACAAACTCAACACAGATTGCTGTATAAAAAGTCAATACAGATTGCTGTAGAACAATTAACAATACTAGAAACAACCTAAATGAAATCGTATCTTTAACATTCATGGCAGGATTAAAACTTCATATTTGTACAATCAAATATAAGAAGTCCGAGTCCAATGTCAGAATAGGTATCAAATGAAATAACTACATATACGTATCATACTGTAGAATAGCAATAACGGTTGCCTTTTTGTTTCTCAATTTCAAGATCCTCGCATCAATATTAGCTCCACTGGTTTTAGGTGTTGTATGCAAATAAACATAAATCTTATAGGATATAGTAACGTAATTGGATTTAACAAATTTCAATATAATTGAAACAAAAGTTTATCAGATAAAACAGAGGGAAAATGTATCAAGGAGGCATTTAACAAGTATAAGCCGCGAGATGATGGTTTCGAAAAGTGGAACATATCAGTAATCTTAATTGACACATATATTTCATTACGGTAACATATTTACAAACATTTGGATAAAACTTTCCACAAATCCATAGATTCCCATCGCCAACATACATACTTAAACCTCAAGACTTGACACCGTTTTTATAGAGTCTTAATGACTAATTGCCTTTTTACTAGACATATATATATATAATTAATTAACGGTGTTTCGGGATTTTTTAGCTAAGTTCTATTTTAGCAAGGGTCCCTTCTCAAAAGTCTCCCTATTTAAAAGTCTTGTTTTTGCTAGGTGCTCTTTTAAATTTTTACTGCGTTTATACGCAATGATAGGCCAATGTTTAAATATTGTTTTACAATATTCATCTCTTTTGCAAAATTTGCCAATGTTTCTTAATAGCTCTGTTAAGATTTATAACTGTGGGGTTATATTTAGTTACTAGGTGTAATACCACCATTGATTTTCCCCTATTAGTCTTTGTTAAATTTGCACTTTTCAAAAAAATGTGCAGAATTTATCTTTGTTTCAAATAAAGAAATACTTGGCATGAGTAAAGATTTATCCTGTCCAGTACTATAGAAAAAATTTCACATAACATTTCATTGCATATAAGAAAATAACCATCACTGGAAGTTAACCAATCAAATTTTCCCCCTTTTTAACCTGTGTACAAGCTTTAGTAACCATGTAACCTCAAGTTTCCAAAATATTCTATAGAAACCCCAAATAAAGAAATAATAGTGCTTTGAAATACCCAAGATATATGTTTATGACTCAGAAATGTTTTACTGCAATGAAATATAGGATCAATTACCTACAACTGTCAAATTCAAGGGAATATTTTTTTTCGACCTATTTTCGTATGCAACCGGATGTGACGTACTATGATTTGGTGGTATTACACCTAAAGAAGACTTTTTTGTTAAATAAACTGAATGTGACTTTTTTCCTTTGTAATACTGGTTATTTCAAGCATTCCTGTCAAGTTTTGTCATAATCAGTTCAATAGTTTGAGAAAAATCTAGTATAATGTAAGACGACATCTACAGCGATTCGAGCAAAATTTCTCCGAAATATCCAAACCAAGTCGCATCATGATAGAGTATAGTGTGGACCAATAAATGATCAAATATTTATCTCATCTGCCTACAAACAGTTGAATATGATACAAAAGATGACTTTAGGATGATAAATACTACTAATGGACCTCTTTGTCTTCCTTATAAGGTCTCTTTTGGTCCATTTATACCTCTCATTTCCTCAAAATTTCTACTTTTTAGGCCAATAAATAAACATTTTGGGGTAACTTTCACTCATTTATGATAGAAATGTTATTATAAATGATTAATTGAAGTATTCAAGCTGAATGAACTATCCGTATAAATGTTTACTGTCTCCAAGGAGGTTTCAATAAGTCCATACGTAAAACTTGAATTTACGCCGCGTTCCAGAGAGGGACATAAAAAACTTCTTTTTTGGTGAATAATTTGTTGTTACTGCTTTAAAAATAATTTCATTTACTTAAAACTATATATTTATTAAAGTATTTCTTAGGAAAAATTTTCTAGTATAGCAGAATATAAGAAATAAGGAGAAAAAGCTCCCCAAAACTCTAAGTATGGCTTGTTCTGTCAACTAATATTCATGGTAAAGTCCTATTTCAAGGAAATTTTTTCATAAAATGTATTTTGGAGACTCAATCCACTCAGAATATTTTATTATTTGTAATATTTCACTTAAATAGCAAGAAATTTTAACACATGAGAGTACTCACAAGGTCAAGGTGCATGTACAGCTTCCCATATTAGGTGTAATACCACCATTGATTTTCCCCCATTAGTCTTTGTTAAATTTGCACTTTTCAAAAAATTGTGCAGAATTTATCTTTGTTTCAAATAAAGAAATACTTGGCATGAGTAAAGATTTTTCCTGTCCAGTACTATAGAAAAAATTTCACATAACATTTCATTGCATATAAGAAAATAACCATCACTGGAAGTTAACCAATCAAATTTTCCCCCTTTTTTAACCTGTGTACAAGCTTTAGTAACCATGTAACCTCAAGTTTCCAAAATATTCTATAGAAACCCCAAATAAAGAAATAACAGTGCTTTGAAATACCCAAGATATATGTTTATGACTCAGAAATGTTTTACTGCAATGAAATGTAGGATCAATTACCTACAACTGTCAAATTCAAGGGAATATTTTTTTTCGACCTATTTTCGTATGCAACCGGATGTGACGTACTATGATTTGGTGGTATTACACCTAAAAGTGTAAGTGGATTTCCCTTTTTCTAAAATTTACTGACAGAGTACTGCATCGTTTCACATTTTGTATGTTTGTTTCAGTTTCCAACTTATCATAGCCTCTATCTATAAGTTTATTCTGCAAGGTCAGAAGATGTTTGTTAAGATCAATTTCGTTGCTATTGTTTCATATGTGACGAATTGTTTCACCTGTTATAAGACTTTTAAAAGTATGTTTAGGATGTGCACTTGTAATTGGGAGATACTGATAAGTTTCAGTTGGTTTGACATGTAACCTGATGTCAAGGACACCATTCGATTTAAAACGCTCCCCTTTGTACACCTCAGTATCTAAGTACGTCACTTCTGTATTGAAGAAATTTTCGACTTATGAGTTTGAATGTCCCTGGTATCTTTTGCAACTCTTTATGGTCCGTCTAAACACTGCTAAGGACTCCTTAGTGCACTAAGGACTTATAATATGCCACTAAGGACTAGAAGGGGTGCTGTTACATGTACATTGTTTTCATATTATGTTAGAGATTGATATTGAATACATAGATTCCAAATTTTATAGAAAAAAAAAAACACACACAAATTAATTGAACAATGTTATTTACAAAGATTAAACATATTTAAATAGCTTAGAAAATATCCTTTTACCAAATGATGAGAAAATATTAACATTTGTAATACTTAATACTTCATAAACTATTCTCGAAACAACTTCTCGTCCTGAATATACATGAAATGTTTGCCACTGGACGTTAAGCAACCAACAATCAAATTACTCAAACGTTGCTCTAAAAAATTAATTAATCAATATAAGCCACAATTTTATCCATCAACTTGGTGTCTCTTGTCTGTATGTAGAATAAACATACTGAATTCGTTGTTGTACAGAAATATATTCCTTAGACGAGTTCATGTAAATAAATTCATAGGGTATCATGTGGTAGTTGAAATTATTTCACGTGGCAAACATTTTACTTAACTTAAAAAAATACTTAACAATTTTATAAGTTTTATCATTAAATTAACTGATTTATACTTTAGATTTTAAACTATAGATGTTGAATTAAAAAAAAAGATTTAAAAACAATAATAAATCCCTAAGTGTTTTTATGGTAAACATATCTAATGTCTGGTTATTTTCTTATGCAAATACTTAATTTTTTATTTTATTTTTAAGATAATAGTGTTATCAGTTATGTAATTTGACACGTGTAATAAGGTTCACTGATTTTCGGCAAAGTCAAAGAAAAACC